AATATTTCTGGTAAGAAATTTCGATGTGGTTATTTTGCTTTAAGGCGTGAAGGGAGTGTTAACTAAGGCCTATTCGTACTCAGGACAGTGAAGTAGTGTTGACTGAGATCTACTCTTACTTAGGGCAGTGGGGGTCGTGTCGTGGCTTCAGCCTGGTCTTAGAGTGCGGTTGTGTTGAAGTCTAGTCTTACTTACACAGGGTAGTGGGGGTCGTGTTGATTGAGACCTAATCTTACTCAGGACAAACTCCAAACCCACAGAATAACGCGTGTGTAAAGTTAAAGTTCCTAATATAATTGATTTTGTTTATCTTTCGATATATTTTTATTAAATTGTTGTTAATTTCGATGCCTAAGACAAGGTTTCTATTAATTTCCTGACTTAAATCTTATCAGTTTGTGAACGGATATCGCAAATAAGATTATAATTTGCGTAATTTTCACGTGTTCACAATTAACAGTGGATTTCGACTGTCCACTCGTATATATTGTCGTCTCTATTTTCTCAAAGAGAATGAAAGGGATGGCTATAGTTATTGATATAATTGTCACTGCTGTGTAAAGCTACTGTTATAATCTTTTATTTGTAGCCTTGATTGCTTATCGACTTCTGAACCTTTTGTATCTTGTATGGATTTAAATGTGTGATTAGATTTTTAAAACTGAATTAAATAATGTAGGGTGACAAAGATTTTTTTTATAACATAAGGTGGCAAACGAGCGAGCGGCCACGTTAAATCGCTAAAATAGCGAAGTGACCGTTGCCCATAGACATACGCAATTGCATATGCGTTGCCTACCTTTAATCGACGGAAGAGAGGATGCACAGAAAGAAAATATTTTCCCTTCCCATGCATCCTCTCATCCGGTAAGTCCACTTCCACTTCCCATCCTTTCTTTATAAGAAGAGTTTGACGCCACTGTTTAATTATAATTGATTGTGCTGTTTAAGTTTTATTGATTTGTTACTATTGTCTAGTTTAGATTGTTTTTAGAGTCCCGCTGATATTTTCAACGTGTACCTATTAGCGATACTTCAAAGTAATGTTGATACATTTTAGCTCTCATGGTTGACGATTAGCGTGACTTTAAGCTTACTTACGAAGGCAATGTTTGCTGTTTCTGTTATTTATTTCTGGTTTTGTATTCAAAGGAGACAGTCCTAAAATTAACAATACCATGGTCACCCTAAACCGTGTTGTCTTGCGTTGTTATATCTCCATCGATAAAGGTGTTACTCAAGTGCACATGTCTCTTTCCAACCAATAAGTAGGTGGAAGAGAGACAGGTGATGCATATCTTACAATTAGGGTGATTGTCCCGCACTGATAATGTCGGAGACCAATACAACTAGTTATTGTAGAAGTATTGTAATGATGTAATCTTACTTCTTACTAATATTATAAATGCGAATGTTTAGATGAATGTTTGTGAGATGGTATGTCCAGAACAAGTGCATTGATCTTGATGAAATTTAGCATAGGTGTAGAACATAGTCTGGAAGAACAAATAGACTAATTAAGTTTTTTTTTAATTACGCGTGGATGGAGTCGCAGGCGACAACTAGTTATGTTACAAATTTAAATTTAGATGGATGGATGGGTGTCTGTTAGAAGATATCTGCAGAACAACTGCATGAAGCTCGCTGTAATTCGACTGTAGAACATAGTCTGGATGAACACATAGACAACTTGCAAAGTTTTTTTTTTACATAGAGAATAAAATGACGACAATATGTTTTTGTATAAATCTTTGTGCACTGCTCACCTTTTAGTGTTTTAAATTTATTTGGTGTTCATATCCAGATGGTTCTAGACCGCATCGCGTGCACGTCAGAGTCAACGACCAGTTATTGGAGGCAAAAAAATTCGGCCGCCATTTTGAAGTTACATCGCTCCGATCACGGTTATACGGTGTACAATTTGGGCCTTAAAAATCGCGGTTTTAGGTTTTATTTTTTGTCTCCGCAACGGTTATTTTTCATCAACTATATTCGATTCCTATTCGTCCGCCGAATTATATTGTATTTTAATCATACTAATATTAAAGATGTTAGGATAGATGGATGTTTGTTTGAATGTACCTCCAGAAAGACTACATGGATCTCGCTGAAATTTGGTATAGATGTAAAACATACTCTGGAAGAACAGATACGCTACTAAGAAAGTTTATTTTTAATTCCGCACGAACGGAGTTGCAGGCGAGAGCTAGTTTTTTTAATAACAATAAAATTCACGCTTGTAACCCAGAGATCACGGACTTCCAAGTAACTTGTAATTACAAGAATAAGTATATTTTTGGTCAAATTTATATTAATAACAAGGCTATCTTTGAGGCTTGATAAATAATATTTTTGGTCTCGCTGTCACCTATGAATACGGTAATAAAACGCTTATTTCATAGCCACATTTTGGTCCGATAAAAACTGAATTTATCTTTGTAAAACTTTTTGTGCATTCGACGCGCGATTACTTTAAAAGTGTCTCGGTTCCTGAATACCTGTTCTCATCTGTTTGAAATCAGAATGAGTTAAAATTTGGGTGATGTGGGCGTTGGTAGAATTGTTATCCGATTGACTTGAGTGGATAATGTTTTTGGCATGTATGACTGTTTTTATGTATGATATTGAATGTGTATGGACACAAAGGTAGGGGATGATCGAAGAAAGTATGTATGGAAGGAGTGCAAGATGTGCCGACCTTTGGGCAGCTTGATAAAGGGTGCTATTACCTTCCTGAATCAGTCGATTTTTTTTTGTGACTGAGTAGTCACTGTTTGCCTTGAAGAGGCATTTACAGCTTCACCGGGCTTGAGGTGGCCGAGCGCAGATGGCGCTTAGCCTGAACCTCGTTTGGATCAGTCGAGTGTTTACTTCGGTACATATGTCAATGCTTTTCTAACCTCCTCTAACGTCATACGGCTGATCCGATTTTGATGGATGGATGTATGTTTGTTAGAAGATATCACCAGAACGACTGAACGGATCTTGATGAATTTTGTCAGTGATGTATATACTAATATGAAAGAACACATAGGATACTAAGTTTTTTTTAATACCGCGCCATCGGAGTCACGGTCTACAATTAGGTAAGTAATATTGTTATATCGTTCTTTAAAACCTGATTGGTTATGTTTATAAAACGACTTGTTACTTTTATTACTTGACAGTTTTTATGGAGCTGTCAGTACTTAGATATTAGTATCAGTGATGTCATCAATGTAATTTGGTATTGTAAGTTAGTCATCCTTATAAAGTAGGGTGACAAGGATTTTATGTAGAAAATTCTCTTTGCACTTTTAAATATTAAATTGCAAAATGTAACCATAATTTTAATTGAAATCGTGTGTTAAAATGAGTCTCATTTATTTTATTTTTTTAATAAATCGCGTAAATCTAGTTAAAGTTATAATAATTAAGACATATTGTTGTCTTTATTTTTTCATACATAAAGAATGAGATGACAATACCCACAGTAAGTGAAGGTATTGAATGTGACAGTAAAGGCGGGAGTACCGCTTGAGCAATTTTGTGTGGTCCAAGTTATAAGATTACGTGTTATTTATTTCATAATTAAACTGCAGTATTATATGTGTTGCGGCAACATCGTCCGTGTGGATAAGTGGCCAGTTCGAACAGCGCAACCTTTTATTCGTGTATTTTTTATTTTTTTTATTCCAATTGTCACAAAGTATAATAAAGATCGATAGATTTTTTTTCAAAACTTTTTAACGAAAGATGTGAGTTCCAATTGATTGATTTAGATAGGTAGCTTATTTATTTTAGCGTAACCAAGTGGACACTAGTTCTTTGCAACCTTATAATATAAAAAAGAAATAGTTAACCATTGAATTACACATTGTCGTAACTCAATATTCTATATAACTCTTACGATGATCAATCTTGTTTAAAAGTTACATAACTAATGTCGTTTTTCACTCATGTTATCAGATGGATATGTCAGCCTTCGTAGAGATTTATCTTATTGTTTGTACTTCCTATATGATTTTGTTAAGAGTGCCGACAAATTCCTTTCGTCGGCACGGAATTAAAAAATAAAACTTTACTTTATGTGTTCTTCCTGTTCTACATCTCTGCCAAATTTCAGCGAGATCCATGCAGCCTAAGGATATACCTTCTAACAAACATCTATGATCCATCCAAGCATTCGCATTTGCAATATTAGTAAAATTTACAATACTTTAGAAACTTGTGCAGGCTTTTGGTTTTAAAAATACACACGCGTGTATTCGTCAGGAATTTGTCGAAATCGTATTCATGGTTGGAATCAAAGAAGGCATTGGAATAGGAGTTTCTGAAGCTTTCCAAATGTAAACATATTTATGCAGCTGAGTGTACAATTAGACTGGAGATGTAGCTTGTCTCTTTTGACTTGTACCACGCGTTTATTTTCGACATGTTAAACCTGTTATAAGAAAAGCCGATTTTGTTGTTCTGTAAAAATTGTCTGAACACAAAGTGTGTTTGATATATATGTAATTAATGGCCTGTTTTATAGCTTTAATTGACTATGGTTCATTGGTTTTTAAATGTAATAAAGATCGCTATACACGGACTGCTTATAGAAATGTAATAAAGTCTTAATCGTTTTTTTATTGTAAGTCAAATATGTATAATCTTTTAGAATGAAATATTGTCAAGACGATTCAATCGAACCCAAACTCAATGAGGTTGTATTCGTAGCGAAGATCCTATGAGCACCTTCCAACTGCATCATCAGATCAACTCCGTGTGATGTATGTAAACGATGATGATGTGCGACAAGTTAACCCTTTCATTTGTAACGAACATCGGGACATGACAAACTAAGAAAAGCCTTTAACACTTTTAATGCCACCGACTCGCGATGTTAGATTACTCAAGTACGTTTAAATCCAAGTGGCACTGAACGTGTTAATACCATTTGCTTATCCTTTTCATCCTTCATTTTCTCCTTTTCCTCCTATTGATAACAGATATTGTATCAATGTTTCTTTTTGAAGGTCCGCGGAGGCAGTACGGGAGTTCCGCCGCCGGCTCCCCCGTCACTTCTAGAAGAGAAAAGAACTCCGTTACAGCCGCAGCAGCAGGGCAGGGTACAGCCACCACCACCAGGTATGAACAATAATATTACGGATAGAATAGGCAATAGTATATCTTAGTATAAATGTCCAGCTCTGGTGATGCAATAAGACTAAATATGTGACAACCGACAACTATAGCTGCCTCAACGGTCAACACTATGTGTGTCGGAAGATAATTTTCATCCTCTTCCTATCCTTTTTTATTTTATAAGGTGGAAAACGAGCGAGCGGCCACATGAAGACGCCGAAATAGCGAAGTGACCGTTACCCATAAACGTACGCAATAGCAGTTACGTTGCCTGAAAGAAAGAGAATGTTTTTTCTTTCCATATATCCCCTCATCCTGAAAATCCACTTCCACTTCTCATTCTTTACCTATAAGAAAAAGGATGGGAAGGGAAATGGGACTAAAATTAGACCTCCGGTACCACATTCATCAGAGTGTAGCTGGAATGACTTCGCATTTGACGCGTGTCTTCTGTGAGATTGTGTTATTGCACCTGGCAAGGCCAATTCGTGCAAAGATGTTAAAGCGGGCTCTATCATTTTTCTTACAAGGAAAGGATGACCAGAAGTGGAATCATCTCATACGTCAGTATGTAAACGGTGATCGCTTCGTTATCTCCATGTATTTAAGTGGCCGCTTGCACTTTTGCCATATAATATTAAAAATAAATATGTAGATTGTGTATATCACAGACCTCTACATGGACAGGCTATTAAACGTAGTATTTTGTGCCTATTTGAATTTCGCTTAGGTGAGGATTCGAACTAATAAAGCTGTAATTTCCAAGTAATGACCTATCCATTTATAAAGATAAGTGAACCATATTATTAAATGTATAATAATTTTTTGTTAACAGAACCAGTCGTGGCCCTACCAGCTCCTAAACCAAGTGTCGTGAAGGCAACAAAGACTGTAAAGATTAATCAAAAGGTACGTTGAAATATATTCTTATTAAGCTTCTGCGAACACAAAAACATATGTACGTCCTTTTCATTGATGTGGAAAAAACAGAGATAGAAAAAGACAACTGATTCTTACGATTTCCTAGGAGGGATAGTGAACTATTGGCACGCGATATTATATTTTGGGTTATAGATGAAAAAATTATTTCAATCGTCAGCATAATATATGTCCCCATTGAGGGTCTTGGAGCCTACCCTAAGTTAAGGGTGATTAGGCCATAGTCAACCACGCTGACCAAGTGCCGGTTGGTTGACTTCACACACATTTTGACTTTGTCAGATATATGCAGCATCACGATGTTTTCCTTCAACGTAACGTCGGATAAATGTACATATGTAAATCGAAATGCACATTGGTACATGACGGGATTCGAACCCAGGACCTGCAGATTGCAATTCAAGTGCTTCACCCCTGAGCCACCGACGCCCATAATTCGTTCACTGTATTACGTATAATTTGAGGTGTTTCGAATATTCACAGATTCAAAATTATTTGATGGCATGTCTATGACCTTATAAATTTTTCTTCAGAAATATAATAGTTGATAAGTAAATGTTCGTAACCCCTGGCATATTGTAAATCGAACTGCACTGTAGTGATATTTGTAATATATTTTTATCTCTTTCTTTCTATTTGATAAAATAGAGACAGCGATAATTATCCAATAGACGCCAGCAACTCTATGTGCGCGGAATTAAAAAAAATCTTCTGTAGTCTATGTGTTCTTCCAGACTATGTTCTACATCTATGACAAATTTCATCACAATCTATGCAGCTTATCTGGAGATACATTCTAACAAACATCCATCTAAACATTCGCATTTATAATATTAGTAAGATATTAGACTGCAGTGGAATTTTAACTTAATAATTATTATACTTTTTTAATTAATGTTTTTTTTTTATTTCGTCCACATCGAAATTCGAATTCGATTATTCGCTCCGAATCGATTAATGTCGCCTTTGTTGTGATTGTAAAATGAAATCGAATGCAGTTTTATTTGTTTTAAATTCACCATGCAGTACCGTTATTGTAGAGTTAACAATGCTCATCTTGAAGGCGTTATTTCGTAGTCTTATATACAAAACAGCTGTCGCCCGCAACTCCGACCGAGCGATTTAAAAAAGTAGTAACCTATGTGTACTTCCAGACTGTGTTCTACATCTATGCCAAATTCAGCAAGATCCGTGCATCTGTCCTGGAGATACCTTCATCCATCCATCCATCTAAACTTATTATTAGCTGTAGCCCGTGACTCCGTTCGCACGGAATTAAAAATATTGTTAAAAAGTAACCTATGTGATCTTCCAGACTATGTACTACATATATGCCGTATTTCATCGACATCCATGCAGCTGTTCTAGAGATACCTTCTATCAAACATCCATCTAAACATTCGCAATAATGAAACCTTAGTCGGAGTTATATTATTATTTTACTTGTTAATGTATACGATAAGGTGCTCCCTGAGTGATTACTTAATGTTTCTGAGTGCGAGAACCGTATCAAATAATATTACAACAATTAATTTACCTCCAGCACGATAGCGAGTCGTATAACTAGTATTTATTTGCATTTGTGCGCCGGCGCGGAGGGGGATAGTGATGTCACATAGTTCTTTTATCGATATCGATAGTTTCTATGAGGGATTAGATTTGTTTTTAATATTTAACGACTTCGTACTTTACTCGACAAACTTTTAAGGAATCGTCTATTTGTAACAACATAAGCAAATATTCAGAAAAATATGAAAATTTTGAAGTTATTAATTTATGTTGTTTATTTCATTTATGCAACAGTAATACCTTTTATAAAAATGTTATAAAAATAAATCATTCAGCTAGTAATTAGTTTTTTTCAAATATCTTGGCGGCTCTGAACTTCACGCGAGACGCGCAGAACATAATTTTAGGTGTGTTGCGGGGGGAGGGCAGATCGTAGCGCGCCGATGACCTTGAGCCGCCAAGATATTTGAAAACTATCGACTAGATTTGTTTTGCTATCCCAACACTAGTCTAGTACCGCGCCGACCGGCGTTGTGGACGGACGTGTCCGTGCGTTTTATATTTTTGAATATAAAATATTAAATCCAGCAAGTGACCTTTAGCAATACCAGTTATAGTGCATTTAGTGATTTCAAATGGACATTGTGATTTAGTGATTTGTGCTACGAAATAATTGGAATGCAAAAGTGTTCATGGTTTGATTTTCTTATATCGTGTTTTTTTTTTGTTGAAATGCAACAGAGTTTTATTACTTAGTTTTATGGCGTAGTTTGGTTACGTTGGTTTTATAAAGAGCAAGATTATGAAACTGGCCAACGTTCGCGACTCCGTCTCTAAACCATATCGTCGTCTTTCTAATTATCTTTGATGAAATATTGATATGTTTTGAAGGGTGATTTTGGTCTTAAGATGCCATAGTTAATAGTTTATTTCTAGCTACAGACTAAAGAATGTAAGTGGTGATTGATGACCTATAATTATTAAAAAAAAAAGAATTCATGAATCGATTTATATCGTTCATATAATACTAATAAGATTTTGTTTGTTTGTGTTGAATAGTCTCGGTAACAACTGGACAGATTTGAAAAGTTCTTTCACTGTTGGAAAGTTACACTATCCCTTAGTGATATAGACTTAATTTATTCCTAGATTTAGATGAAGTTTTTTTTTCAATTCCACACAGACGTAATCTCAGGCAACTAATGTGTAGATATGGTATAGAATGCAAATAGTAATAACGTATTATATTAAAAGTTTAAAATATTATTTTTATATGTAGAATATTATATATCTACTAGCGGACCCGACAGACGTTGTCTGACAATTTGACACTGCGATGGTAGCGCCGTCTGTCGGATCCAATGTAAAACATTCCAAAATCAACAACTACTAATAAATTAAAAATTAATTAAAAAAACATTGTCCAGCTGACAAAATTGTGAATCTAAACCATTCTCAGATCCCCTTGAACACACACGAAAAATTTCATCAAAATCGGTCCAGTCGTTTGAGAGAAGTTCAGTGACATGCACACTCACAGAAGAAGTTGTATATATAAAGATGAAAAGAGTTACATCAAGATATGTAACCTTTTTCGTAAACGAGTTATATTTTTTTTAAATACGCAATTCTCTTAGTCGGATGGATTGCGCAGTAGTTTTCGTAATGTCCCAGAAAAATGTTCTCTCTTATGTTAGATAAGTATAAAAATATGCAATCCATATTAAAATACTTCTATATAAATATTAATTAAGTTGTCTGTATGTTGAGAAAAATAAATTTTATCGAGAAATCAATTTTTCTTTGTATGTCCTCTATGTTTGTTGGTAAGGCTTTGTTCCGAGTAATCTTATGTCTTTAAATGAGCAATTCTTGTATATCTTTATATATATAATTCTTCGGTGAGTGTGTATGTCAGTGAACTTCTCTCAAACGACTGGACCGATTTTGATGAAATTTTTTGTGTGTGTTCAAGGGGATCTGGGAATGGTTTAGTTTCACAATTTTGTCCGCTGGACAATGTTTTTTTTAATTGATTTTTAATTTATTAGTAGTTGTTGATTTTGGAATGTTTTACATTGGATCCGACAGACGGCGCTACCATCGCAGTGTCAAATTTTAAATAATATTCGAATTAAAGACGTGTAGACAGGACAACGTCTGTCGGGTCCGCTAGTATATATATATAATTGGAATCTCGGAATCGGCTCCAAAGATTTTCATAAAATTTAGTATATAGGGGGTTTCGGGGGCGATAAATCGATCTAGCTAGGAATCATTTTTAGAAAATGTCATTTTATTCGTGTTTTATCGATAATCAACTTAAACATAAACTTAACTTTTTCTATATCGGTAAGATCGAAAAATATTATTCATATTTCATCATTTTATTAGTAATTCGTATTTAAATATAATTTCCAAAAAACATTATTAAAAAGGAAAATACCGAGCAAAGCTCGTTCATCCAGGTGCTTGTTATGATGAAAGTATAGGCAATTATAATAATTCTGCGCTGATGGAGTCGTGGGCGATTGCTAGTCAAATATATGTTAATATAGGTGAATAATAATTATTGGTTTACCCAGAAATAGATTTCGTTGGAAGAATATGTCGCATGGCAACATTGGTAGGAATTGGGGCGTTTATTTAGGGCATTGGTAATCTGTTGATATTGACTTTTCTGATATTATGTTATGAGCTAGACAAAGTAAGGAACGAAACGATTTTGTATTGAACTTCAAAAATGTATTGAACTGAGTATAACTTTAGATATGTCACGTGATTGTCGTATGCCAGTTCCATTTTACTTATTACTAATATTATAAATGCGAATGTTTAGATGGATGTTTGTTTGAAGTTATCTACATAACGGCTGCATGGATTTTAATTAAATTTGACATAGATGTAGAACATAGTCTGGAAGGACGCATAGGCTACTTTTTTTTTAATTCCGAGCCTCTAGCAAATAATAAGGCCGATTGCTACTTCAATCGGAGACTCTTCGGGGAATCACTTTAATTCATTTGATTTGTTACGTCAATATGTTTGGTTTGTTTTCCCTCTATACCGGATTGGTTTAGTAGCTTGTGAATTTATTTATTACTAGTTGTTTTTCGGGACTTCGTCTGCGTGGAATTACAAACACAATTAGTAGCTTGTGTTCTTCCAGACTATGTTCTATACCTACACACAAACATCCATCTAATATTAGTAAGATATTAGTAAGGCTAGTTGTTACTCCAGACTTGTAGAACAGTGGTTCCCAAACTTGTTTTGTCTACTGCCAACTTTGAGTTTAAGCAATCTTTTAATTCATATTAGTCGATGTTCACAAGTTGTTGAGAGTCGAGAGCTCATGGAGTCGTTGTCTAAGAGGCCTCCTAGCTAAATAAAATTACAAATCACCCCCAAGGCCTCTACACAACACCCCCATTTTCTTTCTGGGTCTCTTACCCCCTTTG